TATTTTTAATTTTCTGTACGATTTTTGTGCAGTTTTTGCCATTTTTCGGGCATTGTACTTTAACGATCTCCTCCTACAGTTTAAATCGGATCATCTTCAAATATGCTGAGTGTACTCATAAGGCCTTTGTGATGCTAAATTGCAAAGATCTTGAGTTTTTGTGAAGGGGCGTGTCCCTGGCGGCCTGACAAATTCGATGTTTCGCCATGAAACAGGAAGTTGCTGTAACTCAGGCAAGCAATGTCCGATCTGCCCCAAACTTCACACGTTTGATATGAGTTCTGTCCTGAACACATACCCATGCCCAAATTTAGTTATAGTCATAGCGCCACCTGCTGGCAACAGGAAGTGTCATGGTTAACACTGTTATGGACTCCTAGGAGCATATTAAAAAGTGTCAGCAAGTGCTAAATAGGCTAGCAATATGCTAGAAACATGCTAGCAACACTTAGCTAAGTGCTAAAGCATGCTATTAATGCAATGAAACAGGAAGTTGCTGTAACTCAGGCATGCAGTGTCCAATCTGCCCGAAACTTAACATGTTTGATGAGAGTCCTGGCCTGAACACATCGACATGCTAAGATTCAGTTATAGTCATAGCACCACGCCACTTACTGTCAACAGGAAGTGACATGTTTAACTCTGTGATGCACTGTTAGCAATACAGTAAAATATGCCATTGTGTGCTAAACATGCCTCAAACATGCTAGCAACACTTATTAAGTGCTAAAGCATGCTATTAATGCCATCAAACAGGAAGTTGTTGTAACTCATGCATACAATGTCCAATCTGCCTCAAACTTCACATGTTTGATTAGAGTCCTGGCCTGAAGACATCTGCATGATCATATTCGGTTATAGATATAGCACCACCTACTGCTAACAGGAAGTGACTTGTTTCACACTAACTTAAACATGCAATGTCCGATCTGCCCCAGACTTCACGTTTGATAAGAGTCCTGGCCTGAACACATCTTAAGGCCAATATTCAGTTATAATCATAGCACCACCTGCAGGCAACAGGAAATGACTTGTTTTACACTAACTTAAACATGCAATGTCCAATCTGCCCCAAACTTCACATGTTTGGTAAGAATACTGGCCTGAAGACATCTACATGTCAATATTCAGTTATAATCATAGCGCCACCTGTAGGCAACAGGAAATGACTTGTTTTACACTAACTTAAACATGCAATGTCCAATCTGCCCCAAACTTCACATGTTTGGTAAGAATACTGGCCTGAAGACATCTACATGTCAATATTCAGTTATAATCATAGCACCACCTGCAGGCAACAGGAAATGACTTGTTTTACACTAACTTAAACATGCAATGTCCAATCTGCCCCAAACTTCACATGTTTGGTAAGAATACTGGCCTGAAGACATCTACATGTCAATATTCAGTTATAATCATAGCACCACCTGCAGGCAACAGGAAATGACTTGTTTTACACTAACTTAAACATGCAATGTCCAATCTGCCCCAAACTTCACATGTTTGGTAAGAATACTGGCCTGAAGACATCTACATGTCAATATTCAGTTATAATCATAGCGCCACCTGTTGGCAACAGGATTACACTAACTCAAACATACCATGTTCAATCTGCACCAGACTTCACATGTTTGATAAAAGTCCTGTCCTGAAGACATCTACATGCCAACATCCAGTTATAATCATAGCGCCACCAGCTGGCAGCAGGAAGTTTGGCACATATAAATTACTTTGACATATTCCTCCTATATTTACCACTTTAAATGCATATTGCCCACCGTTTGCTGTTTTTCTAAAGCCAAGGGGTGGCAGTGAGCCCGGGTGAGAGGGCCCTTTCATCGCTGCTTGCAGCTTTAATTATTATTATTATCATCATCGTCATAGCTTTAAGTGTTTTAAAAATTATTTTTATTTAAACATTTTGGGCTCTTAAGGTTTTCTGGTCTCAATCTTTCAACCAATAAACCTGGGAAAAAAGTGGTGGGAGTCTGAAGAAACTACAGGCCATGTGGCTAAACTGGGTCACTGTGTTTCTGTGGATGAAGTCACTCCTGTGAATGTAGATTTATGATACGTAATGGTTATTATGTATTAAACTTGGTTTAAATTTGTCAAAAGATGACAGAAGTACCAAGAGAAATCTTTCAGTACATGACTGAATTATACTTACAGCCATGATACTTCAAGCAAAATGCAGTTGTATTTCCTGTGAACAAGGAAAATTTAAGATAAAATTTAAATAACCGGCACAAAGTTGTCTGTAAAGCTCTTCACTAATGAAGACTAGTCTAACTTAATCACATGACTTACAGCACTTGATCAAAATGCACTTGTTTTCTCTATAGGTTGCATCTTTCACAAAATCAAATTGGATTTTTTTATTTATTCAAATCTGAATTATTCAAAATTCAAGGGTTACAGAATAATAATTTTACTGACACCTACTGGTAAAGTTTAGTAACTACAATGTTACTATACTAATCACGTCAATGGAACAACAGATGATCCAAAGAACCCAGTGTTGGTATTACAAGCTGGATTGAATTGTAATATTCATGTTTCATACACATTTTAAAGTGGAAAGTCAAACAGATTTAGGTTATTATGCTTTTATGTGACCCTGCTTCTACAATAATGATCAGACCTGCTTTAAATGACTACTGCATATATTTAATTTAGTAGAATTGTTTATAATTTAATGTATGTGTGTGTCTATGTGTATATAAAGACATACGTAATACAAAGATGATAAAACAAAATTACAGCGTATGATTTTTACATCATCGTTCTTTAATGAAGCACATAAAATAGCAAAAAAATACTAAACAAATCAAAATCGGTCCAAGCTGCCCCAAAATAAAGTGCTTCACATGACACAGCTTCCAAACACCCCAAACAAATATATTAACATTTCAAGTAGACAAATATATGTGAATGGCATGATCACATTAGTTAAAAAAAAAACAGGCTGTCAATCATCTATTAACTGTCCAAGGCTCCACTTGCATTTGTTGTCTGTTTAACATTGATGAAATGTTTCTGTGTGTAGTTACTCTTCAGATTTTCTCTTGTTGAAAATCTCTATGATCTCGCCTTCCCTCAGCTTCAGGAACACTTGCTGGAGGTGCCATCTATTGACAAAAGAGGTTAAGATGATTATATAAATTATATATGCAACATAAAAATGTGTGTTCATTTATTTATTTATTTAAAAAGTTGAAATCATGGTACCTGTTCATGATAGCATCTCTGGTGGAAGTAGTGTAGAGATAACCTCCAGTCTTTGACCCGGTAACTGGGATCTTCAGCTGAAATTGATATATATATGATGATTAATATATTTCTGACCAGTAGTAAAGCAAGTATTTCTGATGTACTTCATGGAGGAGGGTTTATTGGTGATGCTGACCTGAGCGCTGCTGTGGTCAATGCGGTTGTGTCGGTCAGATAAATGGATGTTGTGTATCTTCAGAGGAGGAGCGCCCAGACTGGCCATGGCAGAGGAATTATTGTTCAACTGTTCAAGGGCCAGACGGTAATGCTCTGATTTAGCAAAATTTTCTGAAAGAAACGGAACAAAAGTCACACAATGTTTAACAGCTAACAGATGCTTTAATTAGCCCTGACTTACTCTGCATGAGGTAATACATCATAGCACAGCCGCCGCCGGTCACTACTGTCACAAATATGGTCATCTGCTGCAGGAGGCTGGTGGAGCGGCTCATCCTCACTTCAGATGGAGCAAATATCTTTTGGCTGGAGGAAAAATCTAAAAAACGGCAGTAATATAAAAAAATTGAACTGACCAAATAATATAAACTGAATATATAAATACATTTTCCCCATGATTATAAAATACCTTTAGATCTAAAAGTTTCTACTTCAGTGCTTGAAATTAATTTTATACACAAATGTAAATTGTGCCCATGTATTTTATGTATTTACACACACACACACACACACACACCCCATGGTATTTATATGGTACACCAACGTCCTTGAAAGACATTACTACTAGGGATGCACCGATATGAACATTTTGGCTGATACCGATAACCGATAATTTTTTTTATTTGAAAGCCGATAACCGATATGTTGGCCGATAAATCTACATCCAAATTTTTATATACTTTTTGAGAGTCTGATTATAAAAAAGGTCTCATCATTAAAAGCCACATCCCAAACACTTCAACATAAGCAGCCTAGTTTGAACAGTGTACGTTGTTAAAATAATGTTACTCTCCTATTACCAAATGTCATCATAAAAAGTCTTACAAATAAATAAAATAATGCATAAATAATGCAAACAAGTCATCTCATGTCAAGTGTCTCTGAAGGAAATAATGCATTATTTATCGGCTTTAAGATATCGGCCAAATTTTCTTATCGGGCCGATACCGATAACAGAAAAAATGAGCATTTATTGGCCGAAACCGATATGGTGGCCGATATATCGTGCATCCCTAATTACTACCATGGCACATTTTCTAAAAAAAGCATGTTAATACATACATTTAGTATGGTAAATTTATCTGACAAATATAAAAAAAAAAACCTTATTTTACAACACTGCATTCGTCTTAAAGATGACTACTGTAGCTAGGTTTATTGTCAAAATGCACCTAATTTCCCAGAATTGAGCCCTTATTCGTTCATACATCGACATCAAGGTCCGTTCATAATAATAACAACTCACCGTCACATCTATTATTTCTTTTATAAGCAAAAACCAAAGGGACTTATTTGTTGACACTAAAAGCAGCGCGCTACGGAAGCGGCCATGTTCGTTTTACTTTGAAAAACTTTATTCAAACATCGATGAATATAATCTGAAGAAACACCTTGTAAACACTCAGTCTGCGACTTGTTTAAAAAAATGATGAAGATGTTAATGCAAAGTATTAATGTAAAGTTAGTAACTCTTGAGCATTCTGAGAATCAGTTTATTTATCGTCTGTATCGGGCAACAACAGAAACACGTGCGGCTGGAGCGCGTGACGTCAGACGCACGCGGGTTACGAAAAGAGTTACGAAAGTTGTTTCCAGTCACGCTGGATAATGTCATGCATCCCTCTTCCTTCCCCGCAGGTGCTGTAGAGATCCACACCGAAGGCTCTGTGCGTAGGCTACATTCAGAGGTGAGGAGATCTTGCGCTTGTGCTTATGCATATAGAAGAATGGACATTACTCGTTGTGTAATCTTACATTTGCGCGTTTTCTACGCGTTCTATTAAGCGCGATGCAGATGAATTAAGTTAAAGTGACGCTTTAGTGTTGCTAAAGTGATGCTGTTTAGTGTTGTTACATGCATATATAACTTATTTATTTATTTACTTTGTGTGTTTGTGATTTTTTTCCCTATCATTTTTCATTCATTCATTATGTCATGGGAAAATAAATATAATCATAAGCCTAATAAAAAATGTTCGCATTGGTGTTTATTGGTCAATTCTAGATATAAATGATTGCCTTCAATTCTGCTGTCATTGCCATCATGACAGGAAAGTTTGCGATGTTTAACTTGAATCAAAAGATCATTTTATATTTTAAAATTAATAAATTAGTAATCAAGATCAGTCATTAATTACTAATTAATAAATTAGTAATCAAGATGATTACTATGATTAGTAATCATTAATTATTTGCTCTTCTGAAGAGGAGTAACTTAACTGCACAAATAAAAAATACTTAACCACTTTTCTTATGTCTCCCATTTTGCCAGTATATGGGTAACTAATATAACCAGGATTTGTTTATACAATATTCAGAGAAAACACTTTGGCTGTCCAAGTCAAATATCAACTTATTTTTTGAATTAAGTGCGACTCTAGTTGCAGCTTAAACAAGCCTTTATCAGACAGACACACATGCAGACACACCAAGAACTTCAGTTCCTTCTGCAAACTTCTCAACCCAGTTTCTCAGAAAAGTGCTGCTCTTTCATGATAGTGTCTTTGTATTGACTTGTTTTAATATCATGCTTATGGATAAGGACAGTGTAGCTGTGGATCTTTTCCATAGCTGCTACATTTACATTATGCCACACAGCATTTAAATCAAGTTCAGAACAAACTCACTTGTTACGCATGTAATTCATGCTGATTTTCTGCTCGTGCATGTTGTGTTCCTGCAGGAATGATGTTGGGATCAGTGGTTGTTGGTATAGGCATCGCAGGATGTGTGAGAATGAGAGACTTGCTCGCTCCTCTGCCGTCCAGCACTGCTGAGAAGTTCAGCATCCGAGGCTTTGTGTCCAGGTCAGTGCACATCTTCCAAACATTCATACAGACACTTGATTTATTAGACAAATTAAGCCGGATTGGCTTAAAGCACATATAATTTAATTTAATAATAATAATTTATGCATTTAGCAGACGCTTTTATCCAAATCGACTTACAGTGCATTCAGGCTATACATTTTTTACCAGTATGTGTTACATGTAACATATGTTACATGTTGGTTTCTTTTGACCTCACAGAAAATAAGATACACTCTCTGTGGACTGTAGCCATTTCATATCATAAGGCAAATATTTACTGTGCTGTTCTTAGTGTGCAGTTTCAGTAGAAATCCATAAATATACATAAACGTACCACGTCGAAACACATGGCAAAAGAGATATCTGCACTTTAAACATGTTTTTGAACTTATATTGAAAAGTTTATTCCTCATATGTGACCCTGGACCACAAAACCAGTCATAAGGGTCAATTTTTTTTTAACTGAGATTTATACATCATCTGAATGCTGAATAAATAAGCTTTCCATTGATGTATGACAATATTTGTCTGAGATACAACTATTTGAAAATCTGGAATCTGAGGGTGCCAAAAAAAATCTAAATATTGAGAAAATTGCCTTTAAAGTTGTCTAAATGAAGTTCTTAGCAATGCATATTACTAATCCAAAAATAAGTTTTAATATATTTACGGTAGGACATTTACATCTTCATGGAACATAATCTTTACTTAACATCCTAATGATTTTTGGCATAAAAGAAAAATCAATCATTTTGACCCATACAATGTATTTTTGGCTATTGCTACAAATATGTGCTACTTATGACTGGTTTTGTGCTCCAGGGTCACATATGTGCATCCATCAGTAATAGTGGTTGACTGATATGACATGATATGATATGAGTTAAGAAATCAATATTTGGTGGAATAACCCCCTCATTTTCGGAAGAGAGAAAAAAAGTTATAATAATAGAATAAAAGATGCATAGCCTATATATGTATAATTTATGATGATAATGATGCTAAAAAATGTAGCTTTGAAATCACAGGAATAAATTACATTTTAAAATATATTCAAATAGAAAACAGTTATTTTAAATAGGAAAAATATTTCAAAATTTTCCTGATTTTGCTGTACTTTGGATCAAATAAATCCAGAGCTGAAGAGACTTCTTTAAAAAACATAAAAAATCTTACTGTTCAAAAACGTTTGACTGGTAGTGTATATACTTAAATCTCTGTAAAGTTCTGCTGGTGTTTTGTGTTTGTTTAGGAGGACTCTTGAAGATCAGCAGGGTGTGAAGCAGATCTCTATGACTGAGGCGTTGAGCAGAGATGACATCCATGCAGCCTTCATATGCACTGAAAACACTAACCATGAAGAGTACATCAGGTGATACACAGACTTCCTCCTCACACATGACCAATAATGATCACGTTTGAGCGTCTTGCCTTTAAAACGATCGTCTCTCCCCTGATCTGCTCGATCTCAGGCAGTTTCTGGAGGCGGGGAAGCACGTGTGTGTCGAGTATCCCATGACCCTCAGCTACACGTCTGCAGTGGATCTGTGGAATCTGGCTCAGCAGAAGGGTGAGTTTCTGTCCTGTCTTCTGGGGATGCCTGAGTTAATATTTGAAATGGTAGAAGTTTGTTATTATAAAGCAGGTAAATAGTACGATTCTGCCTCCGGGATGGTTGAATGTTTAACTTCTGTATGGTATCTCCAGGCCTGGTGCTACATGAAGAACATATCGAACTCTTCACTCCTGACTTCAAACAGCTGAAAAAAGACATAGCTGGGAAAACGCTGGAGGAGGGAACGCTGCACTTCAGAGGTAGTGACTGAATAATATCTTTTTTAAGATAAGGCTTCCACTAGGGTTTGGAGTGATGGTGATTTTTGTCTTCTCAGGTGGATCCCTGAAGCCAAATTTTGGGTTCCCGTCTTTCAGTGGTATTGCCAGACTGACCTGGTTGGTTGATCTTTTCGGGGAGCTCACAGTTACTGCAGCATCTCTGGTGGAGGAGAAAGAGAACAAATACATGAAGATGACCGCACACTTACTGACCCGACAGCAGAAGTGAGTACACTGCGGCCACAGACAGCTGTTTTTACATTGAAAAAAAAAAAATTAAATTAGAGATGCACCGATTGCAATTTTCTGGGCCGATTCCGATTTCCGATTTTTTGTTAGTGTGATCTGCCGATACCGATTTTTGTTGATTCCGATTTTCTTTCTAAGAACTATAATTGACAGCATATACAAACAAAAATCTACTTTTCTTCAAAATGTTATTTTCATAAAAAAACACAAGTAAAAATCAGTAATAAAATAAGAACAAATAAAAAAAATTGCAAATAACAGCACAAATAAATGCAATAGAATAAAGAGAGCTATGAAACTAAGTTTTTCAGGTTAAGTACGTTTTTATTCAGTTAAGAAATACTACAGAAATTAAAGTAATCAAATGTAAAATAACACATCCAGTGTTATTTTACATTTGATTACTTTCATTTCTGTAGTCTTCATTGTAAAAATTAAATACAGATTAATGCTTACCATTAAAGTTATAAAACGTTAAATAGTCATGCAGAGTGAGAAATTAATTTTAAAACAATTTACACACACATTTTATGAAGAAAAATGGTTGCTTACTGCCATAAATCTATGGGATTTTTTTCACCTGTTATTATTCATTCATTCATTTAAATGTATTATATTTTTTAATGAATAGCTGAAAATAACATGGCTATAAACACCAAGATTTTAAGTTTGTGGAATTTTTCATCTTTCATTCATTCACTCATTCATTCATTTCAAATGTTTTTTGTTTTTATTTAAATGTCATTTATTTAATTTTTTTTATAGATTTTTTAAAACTTTACAATAGCATTGCCATGAACACCAAGATTTAAAGTTAAAATGTAAACATTTTCAGAAAATGTATATTCTTATAAGTGAAACTGCTCACCATTCTCTTTAAGATACCATATATTTTCACTTATATATAAATTAATATGTTTTTTTTTTTCACCAATTTGATCATGTGTCACACAAGTTAATCAGAGTTCTCTCTGATGCAGACCTCTAACTTGGATTGAAGAGCGGGGTCCAGGACTGGGCAGAGCCAAACACATACACCTTCGCTTCCAGGACGCCAGCATCACGGAGCTTCCTGCAGGTCAGCGGGAGCCGGTGGGGCTGTTCATGCAGGATCTGGTGCTGTTCGGCCGGAAGCTGCAGGGTGAAGTGTCTGCTGCGGAGCTCCAGGAGGAGAGGAGCAGGATCTTACACTGTCTGCAGCTGGCAGACCGCATCCAACAGCTCAGTGAAAACACTCAGGCCTGAAGCTGAAGCTGTCCACACTGCAGGTTCACACCATAACCCATATAGACTGTGGTGTAGAGACAGAGTAGAGTGGAAGATAATATAATTCAATATATAGATTCATTTCCATTTGAGTTTTTTTTTTAACAGTGAAAATCAGTTTGCTAATCAGTTGCTTTTTGTGGTAGCTTGTTACCGCATAGGGGAAAAAATTGCGACTTTTTATTTCACAATTCTGAGTCGGATGAAAGTCTGAATTGTGAGATAAAAAGATTTGGTACGTCTTTGTGTTTTTATCCCATGGTGGAAATCAGCTTTCATAGCTTTTCAGTTCTAAAAAGGACAACAACAAAAAAAACATGAAAGTATGACTTGTAGTTTGTTCTGTTCTTCCCAAAAATGACTAAATTATAATCTCTTTGTCCTTTTTAGACCTTGACAGATATTTTTGGTGAAATATGATTTTTTTCAGTCTTGAAATTGCAGTGATTAAAAAAGGCAATGTAATAGTTTCAGCGTAAGATCAGAAGTTTAAAGTTTTAAATTTTGATTTGGAAATGTAACTAATAGTTCTGTGTTTAACTAGTGGGCCGCATCAGGATATGCAGTAACAGCACATTCCTTTATTGTAACGTGTAACTCATAACTCTGGTTATTAACATAACATTTTATTATTTAGCAGAAAGGGACGATTCTTGCTGACTTCTTGTTTTTTTTTTTTTTTTTAAGTTTTGTAAATCAGTATTTAGTATGTGACTGATACAACGAGTCTTGTTTTAGTACATTACATCTGCACTAAATTTCAATACCCATTTCAGACAGATGAACCTCCGGTGATTTCAGTCACTGGTGTTCATACAGGCTGGAGCATTGCAAAACATTGTGCACTTTTGTTTGGTATTGATATTATGCCATTCTTATATTTAAATTGAATATTAAATATTACATTTAATATAGAATATTACACTTAAATATGAGTGTGAAAACTGTGTATTAAGTGTGAAAACTGGATGAGATCTGCAAGCATTCATACATACTTTGAGCAAAATCAAAGATTCTCTTATCATTCATGCTGTGGTAGAAGTTTTTTTTTAATCTGATCATTTTTTTCTCTGGGAAAGCACTGAATGGAGCATAAATGCACATATCATTGTCAGAGAAACATACAGAGAGAGAAAGAAATGTTTTGCTTCATTTGTCTTCACGTTTACATGTTTGTGTTTTCAGTTAAAAAATAAATTGTGCCGGCTTTCTGGAATTTGTTTTGTGCAGTGGAATCCACACATCAACACAAGTGCATTTCAGAAGTCTGATAACCTGAGTGAACTTTGTTGCATCAAGACTTTTTATTTTGTTTGGCATTGTGATATTTTAAGCATGGTCCCAAATCATCATAATAAAAATTAAATAAAAGTCATCCTTTCCATAAACGACTTAATTTCAGATATAGCACTACTACCATAGTATTTGTTTTGTATTTTGAAATTATTGAAATAATTAGAACTTTTTTCACATTACAGAATTGTCAGGTACATAGGCTTAATTCTCTAAAAAAAAAAAATGTAGAAACAAAAAAAAATATATATTTTTCTTAAATCAAAATATTTTTCCATTAACACTAAAGTACAGTTAACTATAGTATGAAGTATCATGACCAAACAATGAACAATTTTTACAACGTTGATTATTAATCAGTTTCTACTTAATGGTATTTTCTACATGTACATTTCAACATTTCAAGTTGTATAATTTAACAATGTATTATGAACAATATTTATAATTACACAATAATAAAAATGATTTAATACATGCTAATAATAAAAATTATTTAATACATGCTAATAATATCATAAATGCTAATAAATACTGTTAATAATTGTTTCTAATAATAATAATATACTAATGATTAAAAGTTCTTGATCATTGTTAGTTCATAACACCTAATGCAATAAACTAATACTGACAAATAGTATTTTACCATTCTTTCTTGGCTCAGATTGATAAAATCCCACATTTGTAAAACTTCTGACTCCTGTTCAGACATCAGGAGTGAAAGCACAGTTTCAACTTTTATTCACAAAAAATGTCAGTCCTAATGTCAGTTATTTGAGAAGGGCAGGGCCATATTTCTCAGAAGTTGTGGTAAGATGATGCCAACACTGTCATGTGCACTGATCCACAGAAATCAACAAACAAACAGATGAGAAATATACATTTAGAACATCTCTCACGCATACACAGTAAATTGCATCTACGAATTAAAATCATCCTGGCTGACTTCTTGTTCCATGCTGGACAGTTTTGATTTCTGATACAAAAATAGCTTCAAATAAATTACAATAACATTAAATCTAGAAAAAAAAGGTACATTGTTTACTTGGGGAAAAAAGCAAAATGGGGAGCTTCAAAGAGTAACTGATCTGGATCTGGATCTGGATGAAAGTCTCTGGAATATCTGAGATCAGAAGTACTCGTGTGCATCATCATCATCATCATCATCATCATGACTCGTGTTAAGATGGACATGACATGTCGCTGAACACAACAGTAATAAATATACAAAAAAATATAATCAATGCAATAAAGGCAGACAAATATTGAAGTCGTAGTTCACAGAACTGCATCAATCTGCAGTCAGTCTTTAGTCTTTAACCTTCAACTGTCGGTCAGATCTTTCTGCTGGCTCTGTCATTTAAGCCAATGCAAAGAGAAGAAACATTCCTCCTGGGTGACCATCAGACCTGAGAACAGCAGGGCATTCTGAGACGCTTCTTCTGGAAGTCAAAGCGATGTGGGTTGAAGGTGACTGGGGTCTGTATAGAGATCAGAGGGGCTCACGTGGATTTCTGTCGATAATGAAGGGTCAGGTCTCCACCGCTCTTCCAGATGAAATGCTTTACAGTCCTGAGGTCTATGTTTGGATCCAAAACCTACAAACGACAGAAAACATTAACAATAGAGTACAAACAAGCTTTTCACAGTGTAAAGGCCATTGCACAATGAGTCGGAATTTTTCGTCCGAAATTTTCGCACGTTGAAAAATAAATAGGACCTCACGTTGTGTCAATAATAAAATTCGGACCAGGTTCGATTTTCCGTAGCAAGCATTTTGATAGGAAATGATGGCGAATATGAAAAAAAACATACGAAAATGTGCAAGGACCTTAACAATTAATTTTGTTTGTTTACTAATTAGGAACAAAATGCAAATTATATGATCTTGCCTGAAACATGTAGTGCAATTCAGCATTATTAAAATACAAGTATGTAAATAATGTTAAAGTAGCAGAAAGTCACCAAAAAAGTATAGCAGTGAAGGATTTACTTAAACTTAAGTATCTTTTCACACTGTTTACCTAGGCAACTTTAACCCTGGGTTAATCAATGTTTGACACTTGTAATCTTATTATTAAAGGTTACTGGTGTCACAAAAGCTGTGTGAATGTTAACAGCCAGTTGCTTAACAACCAACAACCAACCAAAACTAAATAACGGTCACCTCATTTAAACTCGTTTCAGCATCTGAGGAAAATAAGATGTTGAACAGCAAACAGTAAGTACATTAGAGAGATGAGTCTCTAGTAATTTTCATTTGTCTGGAAGCAGTCAAGGAGGTCTGATAGGAGGTCTAACCTGATCTAAACACAGGAGCTCAATCTTCTCTTCAGCTATCACTGCCACGTCTTCCTCCTTCTCCTGCTCTCCCAGTTTGTCAGTGGCTGAGGAGCTGGTGGTCTGTGACTCTGTGTCGAGGTTGATGATCTTTTCGTAGACGTGCTCCATCACTTTCCGCACTTGTAGCATGTCGCTAGCAGACAGACGGTCCCTGATAACAACCGATTGTGATGAACAATCACCAAAATATTGTTGCAAATTTGCATCCAAGTATTGGTTTTACACTTCAATGTGCATTTGTGTCATAAAATGTGAATTGCTAAGCATAGCCCTTATTAATTACTGCTTTTCCATTTTGTCACGTTTACAAACACAGCATACTTTTTGAGTGTTTTGGCCCCAGATGATGAATGAGGTTGGAGGTAGAATGGGATCTTGTTGAATTTTGGCATGTTTTTCTGTAGCAGAAAAGAAAACAGTCAATAATACAATCACAAACATATGATGGACACATAATGGGATGATTGGGGGATTTGAAACACTCACATCTATAGTGATATCAATAACCCACTGAGGTACGGTTTCATTCAGTAACATGGACTCCGTCTCTCCTCCAGAATCACGGCACAGTAACCTGGAATTGGAAAGAAATGTGGCTTATAATGAAGACAGGAAGGAAAGTCAGATGAGTGTAATGTCTTCATCAGTACTGGACACTGTCATTCTGACCTAAACAATGTTCTTCCTCCTGCTTCACCAAAGATGACAGGACTGTGTGGAGGAACCTGGAAGTAGCCGTTGCCCTTTTGAGTTCGACTCTCCCGTTCACCGTTCACTAAAGAGAAATTCACACAGAAAATGATCAAGTCAGAAACCAACCGCAGATTTCCATGAATTCCATTAGCTCAGAGACCAGGCTTTGCTTAACAAAAAAAAAAATTCCACGCATTCTTTCTTGATAGGGAAATGTCAGTATACATGGCAAAGAACTAAGAGAAATGTATTAATAGAAAATACCTGCTTACTAAAAATCTTATTTAAAATATTTATAGTAGAATTATTAGAATAAAGGCAAATTCTACTGAATCGCTGCATGAGAAGTAAACAGCTAACTATGCTTTAAACAAAGCCATTATGCTTTAAAAAATAAAAAGCTCTGAAACCACTAATAAATAATTGCATGCATTCATGTGTATTAGGCAATCCCAGAATGCATTGAAAAATATTCTAAGATGAACTATAATAGCAGGCTAGAGTCTGCTATTTACTAAGAAAAACTGATTCACTACTGAAAAGTATTAACATAAAATAATACCTGAAAAAGAATAATTATTATTATTATTGCCTTTATTAAAATATTCCTTTGCAAAAAAAAAGAAAAGAAAAGTCTACCATGGTTGAGTTCGCTTTCCTCCTCTTCCATTGGGTTTATATGAGTTCTGGGCCAAAACTCTAACAGCGCCTGCAGGAGCAGCCCACCCAGATTCACTGAAACACACAAATAAACACAACGAACAGTTGTTACATAATTCTCACTGTTGAGCTAATATTGTAATGTCAGAATATGAATGACAAACAAACATACACACACTGTATCATCATCTTGTTTTCTAAATGTTCTAAATGTCCTCACATCAAAAAGGTTGAAGTAAAAAAAATTTACAAAAGCTAAATTAAATGCATTTCTAGCTTGATGTGAAGGTGAAGTGTGTAATTGCAGCACCCCTAGTGGCACCAAATA